CTACTGCTATACTGCTACTGCTGCTACTGCTGCGACTACTACTACTACTACTACTACTTCTTCTACTACTGCTACTACTACTACTACTACTACTACTACTACTAGGGTTGCAAGCCTCCGGGCGCCCGGTAGTTTGAAGTGGTTAGAGAGCAAAAGGATCTACAGAGTTTCTGGAAAATGCAGCTAAGCTAAGCCAACTTGCAACAAACCATTTGGGATTGCTACTAAGTACACAGAAGAAGAAGATGATGATGATAGCGATGAAAAGATGATGATAATAAGGATGCTGAGGATGACGATGATGTGCATGATGAGTATGATGATGATGAGGATGATGATGACGATGATGATGATAATGGTAATGATGCTGATTGTGATGATGATGATGATGATGATGATGAGTATGAGGATGATGATGAAGATGATGATGATGATGATGATGATGATGCCGAGGTTGACGTTAATGTTGAGGATACGGAGGATTGGCATCGCAGCTGTCCCCATGTGGAAATGGTACCGACAGTCCAGACGGAGTCAAACAACAAATAACAGTAACTTTGTGTCTTTCCGTATCCGTTTCTGTAGAGCATACGACCACGTCAGCAGAGGTATTCTGTCTAACTGTCTAACATACAAGGCTGACAGCCCGCAAGCTTCCAACTCAAAATCCTAGTCCAACACACAAGCACCCGTGCCCAGCACTGCCCGCCCTTCGAACATCATGACGTTACGAATGTATTGTGTAACGTCCGGGAGTGTGTGCACGGCTTTGCAATTTTGAGGGCCTCAACCCTATGCTGCGGCAACTACCGCTGCTACTGCTGCTGTTCCTGCTACCGCTGCTCCTGCTACCACTGCTACTGCTGCTGCTACCGCTACTGCTACCGCTACTGCCGCTACTGCCGCTCCTACTGCTGCCGCTGTTTTTGTTGCTGTTACTGCCACCGCTACTGTTTCTGCTGAACGAAAAGACGGTGCTCAACCATGTCGTCATTAGCCCCCCCGCCCCCCCTCCACCCCACCCCCCTTCCACCCCCCCGGCACCTGCAAAACGCCCAAAAACAGAGGTTACTACCAGGCGCCTGGAGGCGCATAGCTGCTAGTACTACCACTATTACCACCACTACTGCTACTCCTACTTCCACTACCACTACTACTGCTACTACTACTACTACGACGACGACTACTACTACTCCTGCTGCTGCTACTGCTGCTGCTGCTATGCTGCTTCACTGCTACACTGCTACACCGCTACCCTGATACACTGCTACACTGCTGCCGCTACGGCTACTCCTTCTGCTGCTGCGGCTGCTACTTCTGTCATTACTGCTGCTGCTGCTGCTGCTTGGTACTGCTTGCTACTACTGCTACAGCTACAGTACTAATGTCGCTACTACGACGACAAATCTTTTGCTACTAGAAAACATGCTGATGAGGGTCCGCTTAGAATCTGATGCGAGCATGTTGGTAATCCTGACTCTGAGCTCTGCCTTCAGTTTCAGCCAGAGCTCGTCAGAGCAACCACAACTTGGCATAAGACTCACATGCCACCTGCTGCTGCCTGATTGTGCGACTGTACACAAACCAGTGCAACACACATGGACGGAACGTTGAGGTTCCAGGGCATGGCCTGCCAGTCAGATGCCAATGCCACAGCTTGGGCCAGGTTGTAGACCCGCGTGTGGATGTTCTTTGCCTTCCCAAGTAGAAGACCTTTGTCCGAGAATTGAGAATGTTTCCCGAGAAGTTTGTACTCTCCTGAACATAGGCTGAAGATAACTTACGGTGTGAGCTTGCGGTCATACGTCAAGGTGGTGACAGATGCTCGTGTGCATGTTATGATTCATAAGGCCGGGTATGACACGGACATCTATGCCACCGTCAAACACGCACTCCCCAAGAGTACTCGAAACCCTACCAACCAGAAACAGCTGGCAACAATCACAACCATAACAATGATCACAATGCCCAAGACACAACTACATTACTAACCAACTACTAACTAAATAAAGCTCGGGTTCGACCCTCTTTAATCTTCAATACTGAACCCTAAATCCCAAATAAATTACTAACCTACTACTAACTAATTAAAACTTGGGTTCCACCCTCTTCAATCTTCAGTACTGAACCCTAACCCTAACCCTAAACC